CTCCATCTGTTTCAGGTTAGTGGACATCATTCAGTAAACTGTCCCGTCGGGAAATATGTCGCTACGTCACACAGTGGAGTCTCTCTGATTGGTTGTCGCGGCGCGTCGAGCTGCAAAAGTTCAGATTTTCCAACTTCAGCGATTTGCACATCAAGCACGTCGAACACTCAGATCGTTCAAATCGTTCAAATCGCGCTGCTCTAATCGCGCTTGAGGCACCGCAGCTCTTCCCGACGCTGCTTGAAGCGCGTCCACCATAGACTTTGTATGTAAACCTGCTGCTCCTGATGCTGAAATCGTGTTTGGTGTGAACGCACCATTAGAACTCCAGTTAGAAAGAGAAAGTAAGGATGAGAAGACTTCCCACCAAATTTCATCAAATGACCTTAAAAAGTGTAAGAAGAGCTGAGCAAACAAACTGCTGCACCTTCAGTTATAAAAACACACTCCACAAGGAGGTACCAATAATAATTTAGGAACAAAAAACCCCAAACTGTACCAGATTTTAGTGCTACATGGGTTTAGCATGTACATGTCCATGTTCTCCTTTAATATGGCCGAGGTGCTCTGAGTGGAGAAAAAATGGAGACGTATCAGTTTCACCTCATTTATGTGTCAACATCAGATAAATAAAACATTTTCTATAAAAGTATGAGATTATGTACTTTAGCTTCTGGGTTGGCACCAAGTATCTTGGCTCCACACTCTACTGAGGCATAATTATTAAAGTTCTTCTGGACTTTCTTCACAGTATGAGAAGCACCGTTGCTGGAGGGGTGAGTGGACTGAGCTGCTGAGGACAGACAAACCTTCAAAATGTGGAAAAATTTAAGTGAACCAAATCAATTCTTAAAAAAATCGGTTCTTACTCTTCTCTTTCTCCACTTCCATCATTTTCCGCTTCCACTCATCAAAAGTGGGGATGTCCTCGGGGTCTTTGCTGCCCACAGGGGGATCCGTGTCTGCGGTGACGGGGGAACCCGGGTCCTGTCAAACATAATGAGAACATGAGAGCGGGGACTCATCCTCTGACAGAGGAAAAGAGCTCACGTCATGTCTGAGTGCCTCACCTGCTTGTGTGAAGTGTTGGCTTCCAGATGTTTAGTGCTGTGAACAGCTGGGGGGCTCAGAGGGGGGTCTGTGAGAGTTTTAGTACCTGCAGTGTGAGCGCTGAAAGTGTTCTCCAGAAACGGTGGAGGGCTGCCGGGATAACGGTAACACATTAACGTCTTGTTTAGGAGAGGAAAACGGACCTAAAGCTCCTACTCTGAGGTGCTTGATCAGGATTCTTTTTTAGTTTTTATTTGTATTTAACCTGTGATTTCACCTGGTTTTGTCATATGGGTTGTTTGCTTCTTCCACACAGTCAAAGTCAGTGGCTTCAGAAGCAGCTACATCATCTGCATCACCTAAATCACTGAGAACAAAACAACAACTAAAACATTATTTGTAAGGTATTTGACAACAAAGCAAACGCTCTGTCTTATTAAAGAGACCCCCGATTAGTTGTAACATTAAACTTTATTTGATAAACGCTTATTTGAACTGTAAAATAAAGACTGTAAAAATACTGTAGGCTGTTTAGTTTTGTAAATTTTTTAACTATATTTTAACACGGACGGAGCCATTTTATTCACACACAAAGCATTCTGGGTAAATGATGACATGGATAGGTCATCGGTGCGAGGCTGCTAGTGCGCTATATCTGAAGGTTAATCTTGGACAATATCTGATGATCGGCTCTTTTAAATGAAACCAGAGAGTGTTGACAGAGAGGAGAAGGTAGAAATGACTCAGCCTGGAACTGAAAATATAGATGGAGGACAACAGAAATGCTTCATGGAAGAAGAACCTCAGTTTAGCTTGTTAGCCTTCGCGCTAGCACCGATGCTATATTGCCTTATATGTATTAGCTCAGCGCTAGCGCGACCAACAAGCTAAACTGAGGTCCTCCATCCATATTTTCAGTTACAGACTGAGTCATTTTTGTCTTCTCTCTGTTTTCATTTAAAAGAGTCGATCATCAGAAATTGTCCAAGATTAACCTTCAGGGTGGATATAGCTCGCTAGCAGCCTCGCACCGATGACCTAGTTGATGTCATCATTTACCCAGAATGCTTTGTGTATACATAAAATGTCCCCGTCCGTGTAATATATTTTTAAACTTTTAGTTTAAAAATTATAAAAACTGAAAATCCTACAGTATTTTTACAGTCTTTATTTTAAAGTTAAAATATATGTTTATTAAATAAAGTCTAATGTTACAACTAATCGGGGATCCCTTAAAAGACGTTATTTAATGATAAATATTTTCATAGACGGTTAAGTGAAAGGAAGCTGCCTTGTTGGAATGTCCTTGTGAGGGTCCGGGATGCTGGGCTCCTCTCTGTTCGGAGCAGAAACGGAGTCAGTGGAAGGAGGCGGGGCAGCACAGTCTGGATGTTCACAGTTCTCAGAGGTCTGCTCAGATCCGTGGTCTGCCTCCAGTTCTGCTTCTGGAGCAACTTTTACTGCATCCAAACCCTGATGGAAAAAACAAAGAGATGTAAGTGGAGCGCCTCATCCATGAACTAACTTACAGCTGCAGGCGTTCCAGAGACAATCAATAAAAATAAAATAGTGTGCAGCGTTTTCTCTATGGTTATCCAAGGAGGGCAGAGGTAGACGTGTAGAGAAAATCTGATTTATTTTATGTTTCAGAGCTGGTCTACGTTTGCCCCCTCTTTCCCCACCAGACTGTACCTGCTCCTCTGCAGGCGCCACCATCCACCTCCCCTCACTGTACTGTGACAGCAGTATGGAGTTTTTGTTTAAGTTACAGATCAGGTCAGTATACAGGTCTGAAGGAGTTGAAATGTATTAAAATATGAAAAATAAATAGTATTAAATGGCCACATGAGTAAAAATCTTTAAAATATGTATTAATATAAAATGTAAATAAAGTAATTTTATGAATTTTATCTGTCAGTTTGGAAAAGTAAAATGTCATTTTCAGTTATTTTGTTGATCTATAAAAGTAATAGAATTGTTTTAGTGTCAAGCTTTATAGGGTTTATCTCTGTAATCATATTTTGACTTCTGAACATTCAAATACATTTAAATATTCCAATTTATTTTTTTTACTTGTTGACAAAAGTTCTTGAATTTTAAAACTGCGTGGTAGATGAAAATACAGATAAATTAAAGAAAAAAGAACAGAGTCAATGCAAACATTGTTGTGATTTTCATATTTAATTATTTATTGATTCAAAATGTTGCAATGCACCTAGGAACAAACAAAATAAATAAAGCTGTTTTTTTAATATTAAGAGACTAAGGTAATGTTCTTTGAGAAGTCCTGAACTGCACATTTTGCAAAAATAATCATTTCAATGATAAAACAATGAATGAATGTTTTTATGCATTTACATGTACAATTTATTACTCTGCTTATTTATCAAATGTTAAGTTTATTTCTGTTATCAAAAGCAAGACTTTAACTTGAATTACTTGTCTTGTTG